AAAATTAAATTAAAAAACGGAAAAAAATGAAGGAAGGAAAGAGAACGAATTGTAAAGGATGAGATGGGGGGGTTAATTAATTGGGGGCAGAAATTAATTGGAATTGGGGAGAATTAATTCAAATTTCGGGCAGAAATTCATTGAAATTGGAGCAAAAATTAATTTAAATTTGGGGCAGAAATTAATTGAAAATTGGGGCAGAAATTCATTGAAATGATGGGACAGAAATTAATTTTAATTGGGAGGAATTAATTGAAATTGGGGAAAATTAATTCAAATTTCAGGAAGAAATTAATTCAAATTTCGGGCAGGAATTAATTGAAAATTGGGGCAGAAATTCATTGAAAATTGGAGCAGAAATTAACTTAAACTGTGGGAAATTAATTCCAATTTCAGCAGAAATTAACTGAAAATTTGGGTCAGAAATTAATTGAAATTGTGGAGAATTAATTCAAATTTGGAGCCGAAATTAATTGAAATTCGGGAAAAAATTAATTCAAATTTCAGGAAGAAATTAATTGAAATTGGGGGCAGAAATTAAAACTGTGGGGGATTAATTGAAATTTCAGGCAGAAATTAATTGAAATTGTGGAAAATTAATTCAAATTTCAGGAAGAAATTAACTGAAATTATAGGAGAGAAATTAATTGAAATCGAGAAGAATTAATTAAAATTTCAGACAGAAATTAATTGAAATTGGGGGCAGAAATTAATTAAAATCGGGGGAAATTAATTCAAATTATGGGATAGAAATTAATTTAAATTAGGATGAACTAATTTGAGAAGCAGAAATTAATTTAGAGAAATTAATTGAAATTGGGGGAATGAATTGAAATGGGGGCAAAAATTAATGTAAACTGGAGAAAATTAATTTAAATGTATTGGGGAATTAATTGGGAAAAAATAAATGTGTTATGGCAGAAATTAATTTAAATTATTTAAGTATTTTAAATTATTAAAGAAATTTAAATTGGGGGAAAAGAATTTAAGAAATTAATTTAAATTATTTCAATATTTTGAATTATTAAGGAAATTTAAATTGGGGGAAAAGAATTTAAATTGGGGAAAAATGAACTTAAATGCAGAGAAATAAATTTAAATCGGGGGAAATTAAGGATTTTAATTGGGGGAAATTAATTAATTGGAGAGGATGAGCTTTAATTGGGGTGGGGCAAAATTGGATTTAAATTGGGGAGGGACAAAAGAAATTGAGGGGAACGAGAATGAAATGGAATGAGCAGAATTTAAATAGAATTTAAACAGAATTTAAATGAAATTTAAATAAAAATTAAATAAAATTTGAATAGAATTTGAATAGAATTTAAATGGAATTTGAATAGAATTTAAATGAAATTTAAATGAAATTAAAGAGATGAAACT